TCACACATTGGATGAGTATCAATAATAATTATATAAGTACATTATATAGGCATTCCAAAAATCTAACCATTTTAAATAAAAACGTATAAAGATGGAAGTTAGTCTCTTCATATTCTATTTTGTAGTTCTAGAATTATTAACACAGAAATTAATTCAGTTTTCATGTTCTCAATTGTAAAACAAACAAAGCCTTTGAATGAACTATGTAAACAAAAGTTTGTTTTCAAACCTTGGCTGGAGAGAATCCTATATATTGTGAGAAAAAAAATTAGTTGTCAATATCAAACCTAAAAAGGAACTCAATATAAATTTTAAGTTTAAATAATTGATCTTGATAATATTAATTGATATTAATAATTATAAAGGTACAATTATTAATTTTATCTTAACACAACTCTATACATATATAGAATTTATATTTACCCTAAAACTTGTATAATTTAACAATTATCATCTCTTAATCTAATTACTTTATTCTGTTAGAATAAATTTGTTTATAACCTATTTTAAATACATTAAACAAACATACCCGTGCAGTGCGCAAGCCCATGTCTAGTTATATAATAAAAGAATATAACCTGCTTTAAAGTAAACATATTACGTACTTCGATAATATTTTTCACATTACTTATTCTCTCAAATATAAAATGGTAAATACATTCCTTTACAAAGGATCATAATTAATTCATTTTAGTTTATTGGTAAATATATAGTTATTTATCTCCATTTTCACACTGAAATTGCTATGGTATATTTATATTATCTTATTATCTATATAATGTCATATCAGTTGGATTTCTTTTTTTAAAGAAAGATATATTATATACTCAAAAAAAAAAAAAAAAAATCCATTCATAAGAGATAGTCATTAAATTGGTTTTTTTTTTTTATATTCGAATAAAAATATTTGATAATGTATTAAAGGCAATATACATGATGAATTTAATAGACGAATTGGTACGTTTGTATTATTGTATATATCTGTTTATATAATATAAACATGCAATCAAGCACTTTAAATATTAAAAAAAATTAGACCATTTTATTACATGAAAACCAAATTAATCAATACCTACACTGTGTTGCATATTCAAGTAAAAATTTTTGAAAATTTTATTTTTCTTTTATTTATCTATTTTATAATTGTGGGNACTCATGATATCTTTCGGAAGCATCCGGTATGCCTACTGTACAATATAGTTGCCCAAATTTATATTGCTTCCGTAGGGAACCCTTTTCGATAATTCATTTACCTATTAAATGAATCATCTGGACAATTCATATACATACTTTATTTTAAATGCATGACTAAATAAAGGAAGCAATTTATATATATGAATTGAAGAACTCTTTCTTCTATTATTTATGATATATATAAATACAAGACAAAATGCTTTGAAACCGACAACACGAATGGTTTCTAGGGCATACACTAATATACACTAACATCAACGTCACCAGAAAATATCATATGTCATAGATGTAATGTGGATTACCAAATGCTCTGTATGAAATTTAATTTTTAGTAAGTTTCTTATGTAATTTCTTGCACATGTACAAATTTAAATGCTTTTTGGTTTAATCTGAAAATAGAAGTTAAAACTCACTCAATTATCTATGATTAATCCAAATATTTAATAACTTATAAAGAAAAAATGAACACAAAATTACAATGATCAGTAGAACGTAAACAATATTTAATAAAAATATTAAACACCAATGATTATGACAATTTCAAATAATTAAACATGTTCGACAAACAGCAATCTAAATACCGTTCCTATAACATATAAAAAAAAATTTCCATTCCATTATTCATTAGATTAAATTCTACGCCAAACCACAACATATTTTGGAAACCCGCCTGCCGAACCATTGTTAACTATTTATTATGCTTTCCTTTAATGCACCACAAAATTTTTTGCTACCGTTTCGTATCTCATCGCGCAATAAGTTGTCAACACTTTTTCAATTAACTTGTCTATCTGTTACTAAATGTCTGTTAATTTTCTCGGAGCAACTTTTATATTGTGTAATACAGTACCCTAGAAATTGTTCAAACATTCTTGCATAAAAGATGAGTTCAAATTTATTCCCTCTGTTTGCTTCCTATTTCTATTTACATAAAACAAGTCAAGATATATTCCACTGTGAAGTAACGAAATTTTAATTAGAAGACTAAAATACTGGATAAAACATAAACGATATTTAATATTTTAATAGATATTTAATAACAATATTAGACAAAACTGTTTATAAAAACTGAACATATTCAACAAACATCAATCTAAATATATTATAATCTTAATTAAAAAAAAAATTAGAAATAACCCTTTCTATTACAGATTTAAAAAAAACTTTTGTAGAATTATTGATCAAACAAGATCGAAGCCGAACTATATACATGTTTTATAACCATATTGCCGAATCACAATTAAAAAATTAATAAATATATTATGACATCATCGTATCATCTCTGACTTTGATACTTGACAAAATATTTATTGTCCTTCCTTTAAAAATATATCAATAAGATTTTATTATTAGTAAATCACAATTTTTATTTATCATAATAGCTCAACATCTTGTCAAACCATCATTAACTACCTAACTAATATGTTGCACACTTAACAAAATATTTATTACGATTTTCTTTAATATTGTACAGATAATCTACTAATGTTTCATATTACCTTATCCAAATAATTATTAACATTTTTTTGATCGACACGTTTATTTATTACCAGTTGTCTGTTCATATTCCACCTCTTCGTATCCTATTCTCATATAAATATTGCTCTGACATCAATCACCCATTTAACTTTCTTTAGATATTATACACTTTAATTGTTCATTTCTTCTCCACAACTTAATTCGAAAAATGGTTGACAAAAAAATCACAACCAAAAGAATCTGCAACAATACCAGCAACGACCTACAACAACTAATTCTCCACCGAGACAACTAGAAGGTATGAATGTTCCACATCTTTTGATCCTAAATTACAAAATGTCAAACCAAACGATGATACTATTTGTAGGAATATAAAAAACCATTAATTTTTTTTTTTTTTTTTTTGATATGTCGAGAGTTAATCTTATATTATATACATATTCATGTACTGTTTCCATATATTATAAAATTTGATTGTACATTGGTTTGCAATTAGTTTAGACATTTTCAGGGAATGCCGGAATTGAGGAGATTTCAAAAAAGTTGAAACCAATTTGGATGATCTACATACTACTAGAGACAATTAAGAGAAGTCATGACCAGATGTTAGAAATCATGGAATCTACAAGGATATATTATAACACAAACAAAAAGAGTATGCTATTGCATGGAGGAACTGAACAACTATAAGAAAAATAGAAAATAATCTACATCGTCAAACCCACTCACAGTATGAAAAAGCGATATATTTATTTCTTTATGATAAAGAATATTCTCGATGTTTAATTTTATCTTGATTTTGGTGTTACCATAAGTGATTGAAAATTGTTCTCCATCTAACCCTTAGTTTGATTTATTCTTCCATCTTCACACATGGATGGGTTATTAATAATTATTATATATATATATATATATATATATATATTAGATATATATATATATATAATTATATGATATATATATAAGTACATTACAATAGGCATTCCAAAATTCTAACCATTTTAAATAAAAAGTTATAAAGATGGAGTTAGTCTGTTTTCAAACCTGGCGAGGAGAATCCTTTACGTGAGGAGAAAAAGTTTACCAGTCAATGTCAAACCTGTAAATGAACTCATATAAATTTTAAGTTTAAATAATTGATCTTCGTAATATTAATTGAATATTATAATATACAAGGTACAATTTTAATTTATCTTAACACAATCTGTACATTATAGAAGTTATATTACTCTAAAACTGTATAATTTAACAATTATCATCTCTTAATCTAATTTTGATATGTTAGAATAAATTGGTTAAACCTTTTCAAAAATTAAATAACATATTACGAAATGCGTGGCCCTATGTCTAGTTATTATATTTATGAGAATCATCTTGATTTTTGTCATATTATCTCAATTCTCTGTTCAATCCAAATTCACTACTTTCAAGTTTTGAAGATATTAAAGATTAAGCAGTAAAGATTGATATTATTTTATTTTTGATAACCAGGATGTCTAAACCAGTTTGTGGTGCATCTAACTAATGTTCGAGATCCATTGATACACTACAATGTCCAAAAGATCAAGTAAGTCATAATGTCATTAGGTAGGTGGTCCAATATTTGAACCCAAAAAATTAAGAAAGAGAGCCAACCTCTATACTCGCCAAGGCCAATCCTCTTGCTCACAAGGCAACTCCTTAGGTTAAAGATTTGAATTAATTATCCTATTCTACCATCTTATTCAAAAAAATGTTTCGAAAATATATTAATCTAGGAAAGTGTATTTAACTTCAACGTGATTTCTCCACTAATTTTGAAAGATATAGCAATAAATTACTTAAAAAATTTGGAAGAGGTCAATCTTATCTAAAAAAAAAAGAGAAAGACTGTGGGTGAACGGCGTGTAGGAGCTATTAGAATTAGTAAATATGACAACTGGCAATCCCGAAACCTTGAAGAGCCGTAGTATCTTATTTTTCCTCGTATATACAACTCTCCATAGAAAGTTCAAATTAATTAATTTCACCTCATATTTTTTATATTTAATTATTTCCATTTATCGGCGATAGGGTAAGTTTACCTGACATTATAAAAAAGGTATCCCACCTATCTTTCCACCACTCTCTCTCTTTTCGGTCTTTCTCCGTATGAGTTCTTCATCATAGACTTGCTATATGTCTCTCATCGATGGTCTCATCAACCGAATTTCACCGACACACAGAGAAGATCATAGCCGAATAACATTTGGTATATATATTTCTTCAACCATTTTACGGACTGTGTGTGAAACTGTGAATCATTCATGCTTAACATTTTCTACTCTTTTTGCCGTTGATTTTATTAGGTCGATGGATCCGGATTGGGCTGGAGAGCAAAGCGAGAGTAAAAACTGAGAAATTTCACTTTATGAAGAAATTAATGCATGATTTTGTGTTTTTTGTTTGTTTGTTAATAATTATAATTATGGTGCTCATGTAACAGACTTTACCTGGACCGGTAACCGACCCGGCCAAGCTTCCGAAGTGGAACTACGACGGCTCCAGCACGGACCAAGCTCCCGGTGAGACAGTGAAGTCATGTCTAGTACGTATCATTTCTGTAATCTATTCTGTATTTCAAAATTTTACCGGAGGGATATTTGGTTAAGAGAATATTCAAGATTCAGTTCCACATTCTTGATGAACTGTATTGTTTTTTCAGTCCTCAAGCCATATTCAAGGATCCATTCCGACGAGGAAACAACATCTGGTAAATTAATTATGACAGTTATTATTCCTAGCCCGTGATTTTCGGTAGGATAAGCATGAATCGGTCCAGGGGTATAATTGTCTTTCATCGTAATTAATTTAAAAAAAAAAAAAAACGGTGATGTGCGATGCGTCACACCGGCTGGCGAACCCATCCCACAAACAGAGATTAATGTGGTGCAAAATATTCAGCCACCCAGATTCCTCGCGAGGAGCCATGGTAATTAATTAGTATTACTTTTTATTTTTTCATTACAATTTTGCGGGAATGAATTAATAAAATGTCATTGGTAAAAATAATTAAATACCTTAAACTAATGGAAATACTTTACTAACAAATTCTCTGTTGATAATTACTGAATTTCTATCATTTAGGTGATAATTTGAAAATTATCTTGGTATATTAAAAAATAATAATTATTTGGATGCTTTGATAACATTCTAGTTGACTTAGTCCAAAATTAAAATGTCAGTTTCTCTCGGGCCCATTAAAAGAAAAAGTTAATTGATTTTTTTTTTTTAAATTATATTTGAAAATTCATTTGGAAGTTTACAATTATTTGTACGTCACATGTTTTATAGTTGACATTTTTATTCCAAATGTTACATGAAAATAGGATAGCAAAATAGTTATTAAAGGGAAGAATAATTTATTGTTATTTTGACACATAATAAAGGATGTCCTTGTGGGGTATCACAATATTCCCGTCAATTATAGACATGGCCAAAATAACAATTAACAGCTAAAGGATGATAATGATATTGTAGATGTAAAACTATATAACAAATTACAAATAGATAAAATAAATTATTATTATTATAATGATATGATATTACTATTGAATTTTTTTTTATGAATAGTATGTCTTAACCATCAATCTTATGGATGGTTCATCATCGAATTCAAAAAAATATAAACTAAAATATTACAATTAAATGGTTATTTTATTAAGTATTACAATTAAAATGATGGCCAGACTTATTTTAGTGTTAACGTTGGTAAAATATACAATAAAATTGATTATTTGAATTAAGTATTGGTCGGTCGGAAAGGTGGGGGGTAGGAGGTTGGTCGTGCTTTGTCTTCACTGTGCTTATTTTCTTTTGGTACAAAGTCCTGTGTCATCTAAGACGGATATGTATTTAGAATGACGAAATTACCCTTTGTAATATAAAATTAATATGTTTTTCTACTTGTAATTAGTTAGGGTTATCAAAGTTTTCCTCATTTTACTAAGTTGGACTATAAACCTAACAAAGCTGTTGGATGTAGCATTGACGAATCATGGGAGTCAACTCCACACCTACTGAAAAAAAACAAATAAACAATGAAAGCGTATCGTATATAAAAATGTTGGGGCATTGTTAAAGAATTCCAGTCTCTGTAAATGGGTTGACCTCAAGCTTTCGTATTGCATTCCAGGAGACAAAATGATCACATTGCTTAGATCTTCTAATTTTTAATCCTAATTGATAATAAGTTTGGCTTTCAAGAACTTTTATATCAGATTATTTTGAATATGCTAACAGTCAACAATGGTCATAAATTCTTTTGAATTACAAAATTAACTGAATTATGGACAGAATTTGTCAAATTAAGTTCCGAAAGAAGAAAATTTCATCTGGCTGGTTCTTTTTCTTTTTAGTTTGGAACTGAGACTTATTGGATATTGGTTTTAGGTATGGCATTGAGCAGGAGTACACTCTCCTTCAGAAGGATGTCAAATGGCCCATAGGATGGCCGGTTGGTGGCTTTCCCGGTCCCCAGGTATCAGGCTCCGACGATACATGACGCTCCTATAATTGACCTTGATTAGAAAAATCCCTATTCTTTTACAGTGAAGTAAAACGTATCTGTTGATTTCCATGCAGGGACCGTACTACTGCGGAGTAGGAGCTGACAAAGCCTTTGGCCGGGATATTGTGGATGCCCACTACAAAGCTTGTCTCTATGCGGGGATTAACATTAGCGGAATTAACGGTGAAGTTATGCCCGGCCAAGTATGTTTTATACTTCATTTCATTGCCCTAACTCTAATCGCTTCACTACTTTTAAGGTTATTTTTCTTACTATGGCTCATTAGATATTCGTGATTGTTTGGTGTGTGTCTATGGAAACAGTGGGAATTCCAGGTCGGTCCTGTAGTTGGAATCTCCGCCGGCGATCAATTATGGATGGCTCGGTACATACTCGAGGTACGGTTATGAAAAATAATTAGCCGTATACTTAAACTTTTTATATTGAATCCAAGTTTTAAATCTGATTGATCAAACAGAGGATCACCGAGATTGCAGGAGCTGTGCTTTCATTTGATCCAAAACCAGTTCAGGTTTGTTTTAATACCGCTTTTACTTTTGTCTGTTTTCTTCTTCCTAGCTTTAAGCCAAAAGACATCACTAGGCATAGATGTGGCTTCAAATCTCTGTTACCTCTTATAATTGGTGTCTACTTATTGTATGCTATTTGATTATATTAATCATGATTACGAATCTTCTTCCATTTTTTTATTTATTTTTTATTTTGAAATAATCAGGGCGACTGGAATGGAGCTGGTGCACACACCAACTACAGGTATATGCTAACTAGTTACTATAGTTTGTGAATTCTCAATAATGACATGGCAAGACTGGGGGGAATTACATTTTGGTTATTAATGGGTTGTAACTTTTCTTCTCAGCACCAAATCCATGAGGAATGATGGTGGACTTGATGTGATCAAGAAAGCCATTGAGAAGCTGGGATCACGCCACAAGGAGCACATTTCTGCTTATGGAAAAGGCAATGAGAGAAGGTTGACTGGTCGCCATGAGACTGCAGATATCAACACCTTCTCTTGGGTAATTAAAATTATTTTCTCGTCATTACAACAACATACTCTTGCAATATGTTTTTCTTTAGAACAATACCTTAATTTATATTGAATATAAAGTAATTCTCATGTGTTGCACTTGCTCAAATTACAGGGTGTTGCCAACAGGGGAGCTTCCATCCGTGTTGGTCGCGATACCGAGAAAGCTGGAAAGGGTAATAATTTGTTTCAGATTTGTTGATTACTCATCTCTGCAATATTTTCTGAGTTGCTTTCATTTCTCTTCTGTTTTGTAATTGATTTAACTAGTTGATTATTGTTGGCAGGATACTTTGAAGACAGAAGGCCAGCTTCCAACATGGACCCATATGTCGTCACGTCTATGATAGCAGAAACTACCATTCTCTTAAAGCCTTGAGGGAATGTGAAGCTCTGGGAAAGAGGAATGAGGGAGAGGGAAGGAAAGCTATCGAAAATCTCTCTAGTGTGTGGTATGCATGTATTTGGATGATTAGATTTGGAATTCAAATTGTTAATGGTTTCTTGGTCACTGATTTTAGTTTTCGTTTCATGGGATACAACTTGTGCACAGATTGTATAAAACTTGGATGATTTTATGTTCTCATAAATAAAAGTGTATCTAGTTCGATAATATTTTGACTGTTTACTTTAAACTATTACGTGATATGGATTCTACATCTTGATTCTCTCCCATTTTCAACCGAATCAGAAAGACAATACTGTTAGCTTATTCAATTGAAGTTAAGAATGAAAGGAGATGAGAGAAAAAAGCTAAGAACTGAAAAAGAAAGAAATAAAAAATCCCTTATTTTAATACAAGAATCAAGGATGAAGATCCTTGATTTTCATACTAGAATCAAGACTGAAGATTAGCAACACTAGCTGTAGTTACACAACTATAAATTAGATTATGATTTTCTACACTCCCCCTCAAGTTGGGTTATAGATATGAGTCATACCCAGCTTGGATCTCAAATCTTCAAAACTCATTCTAGGAAGGGCCTTGGTGAGGATGTCGACTGTCTAGAAGGTAGTTGGAGTGTAAACCATTGAGATGATTCCTTCTTCTATCTTCTCCTTAATAAAATGTTGATCGATTTCCACATATTTTGTTCGATCGTGATGGACTAGGTTCTTTGCAATGCTTATGGCAGCTTGATTGTCACAAAACATCTTCATAGGATCTTCTAACTGAATTTGTAGTTCCTGTAAAAGTCTTCTTAACCAAATTCCTTCACATATTCCTTGTGCCATAGCTTTAAATTTTTCTTCTTGCTACCGTTGGTTGTTTCTTGCTACGCTAGGTAACCAAGTTTCCCCATACAAATGTGAAATACCCTGAAGTTGATCTTCGGTCAGTTATGGACCCTGCCCAATAAGCATCGGTAAATATCTCCACATCTCTTTTTTGTGTTTTCTTGAAATACAATCCCCTTCCTGGAGTCATTTTTATATATCTTAGAATCCGATAAACAGCTTCCATGTGTTCCTCGATTGGATTATTCATGAATTGACTAACCATGCTAATAGAAAAACTGATATCAGGCCTAGTGTAAGAAAGATAAGTTTTCCAACAAGTTTTTGATATCTTCCTTTGTCAACTGGAGCACTTTCTTCTGCAACTCCCACCTTTGTAGTATAGTACATAGGTGTATCAGCAGGTTTTATAGCCAAGCATGCCAGTTTCCTTCAATAAATCAAGGACATATTTTCGTTGTGAGACAACAATTCCCTTCTTTGATTGAGCAATTTCCACTCTGAGGAAGTATTTAAGATTTCCCAAGTCTTTGATTTCAAACTCTTTACCAAGGAATTTCTTGAGATTACTTGTTTCCTCCTCATGATCTCTTGTCAAAATTATATCATCTACATATACAATGATGATGGCTAAATGCTCCCCGAACAGATTGTTTTACGAATAAGGCATGATCAGACTGACATTGTGAATACCCAACCTTTTTCATAGCCTTGGTAAAACGGTCAACCAAGCTCGAGGGGATTGTTTGGGCCCATATAGAGATTTTCTGAGTCTGCATACTTTGTTAATATTAGCTTGAATCCTGAGGGAATTTGCATATACACTTCTTCTTCTAGGTCACCATTAAGAAAAACATTCTTGATATCTAGTTGATGAAGACACCAGTCATGGTTTGCAGCCAGGGATAACAAGACTCTGATTGTGTTCAATTTTGCAACAGGTGCAAAAGTCTTTTGGTAGTCAATTCCATAGGATTGAGTGAAGCTTTTTGCTATAAGTCGTGCTTTGAACCTGTCAATACTTCCGTCTACTTTGCATTTTATTGTGAAAATCCACTTGCATCCTACTAGATTCTTCCCTTCTGGGAGTTTCGTAAGTTCCCATGTGTCATTCCTTTCTAAAGCTCTGACTTCATCTTCAATGGCAACTTTCCACTTAGGTACTCGTAGTTGTTAGAGTAGATGTCTTAGAGCCAATCAATTATTGTAAAATTGACTTTGTAATAAATGTTTATTTATCAATAAAAGACATATTCTTCTATATCGTATATGTAATTATATATGTCCTTAGGATAGTAGAATCGTGACGAGGGTATCAAGTGTTTCAAATCTTGATAGTGAGAACCCTATGATCACATATGGTGGTCATTCTAGAAATGTCCGTAGCCCCAATATTATTCTGATCAAGGACACAAATAATACGATAAGCATAATGTTGAACGACCTTGTCGAAAGGCAGTGACTGATCTCACTTGTCAAGGTTGTTTGCCGACAATCTGGTGCAACGTATGGGTGCTTGCTAGAGGCAAGTTCATTGGACAGACCCAGTAGAGAATTCCATATGGATGGCAACCCTAGTGTCTATGGAATAAATCTGCTAACGAATTGTGGTGCATGTGATCCTTAGACTTGAGATCACCGGAGCGCCTTGTGCACCAATTGATATAGTTTGACACTAGCCCAACGTAGTTCTATTCAGAGCTATCAATACGGTAGTGATTGGCTACATTGAAAAGTGTATTGAGACTATGGTGGATCGACAAATGATTCATCACTCTTGGGTATGAGAAAAGTTATCTCACTGGATAATTCAGTAAATGGCAATGACACTAAATCTGTGGCCACAGTGGGATTGAGTTGATGCTCAATCCAATTTAATATTTCTGTCATTGGTCTAGTAACTGAATGCAAACATGTTAAGGATATTTGAGGTTGATATTATTTCTGCACCTCAGTCTCGATAAGATAATAGTTGATGAAAAGCTTTGATTGCACGGTAACCATATCGTTGATAGGTTGCGGTTTCGCTGAATCCGAATCTATCGGGTGGCCATGATGCCTTACTAGGGGCCAATCTTGGTCTGTGTGTAGTGAGATGATTAATTGGTGTTAATCGTGATACTACACACTGTCAATATGATGAGGAGCCTACGGGTCATACACTTAGAAGATAATTTAAGAATCAATTTGTGAGAAGGGATTTTTGTCTTCCAGGATGAAAGGATATTTTGGTAATCTCACAGTGCAATTAAATTTGCTGAGGTTGTTGCCTGTATTTAATTTTAATATTAAAATTAAATTAGTGAGATTATATTTAAATATATCTATGTATATATTTAAATGAATTATTATTATTAATTGAATGTTAATATATTATTATATATTAATTGATTTTAATTATAATAATAAGTAATTAATTAAAATACCATAAAGGGTGTGTTTGGTTGCAAGGGTGAACTAGGGTTGGAGCCTATGGCTATTCTTAAGTGGAATAGGGTTTTAATTGTTGCACTATATAAGTGCAACTTAAAATTAAAAAAAAAAAAAAGGATTATTCATTCAATTAAAACCCTAGCCACCCTATCTCTCTCTCTCTCTCTCTCTCAAGAAGAGAACTTTTCTTGTTCTTCTTTCTTGATTCTTGAAGCCCTTGATTGTTTTAGCAAAATAATCAAGGGTTATGCGGATTATCTTCGTGTGGACTTCCGTGAGTGCGATCCTACTTTGGATCGATTAGGGAAAAATCAGAGTAGATGTGAATAGTAGGCGTGAACAGTATATAGTGAATAGTAGACGGTGAACAGTGTTCGTGTATGAAATCAGAGATATTCGAAGGACCCTCCAAATGTACGTAAGTATTCTAATCCTTAAATGGATTTACTTTATACAGATTTTGTTTATAAACAAGTAAATGGTATAATCTATACTCAGATCTTGGCAAAGAAAGGTAATTGATTTACCAATTGAATTTTTGTTTTCCGCTACGTATGGTAGATCAATTACTTACAGTAGTGCTTCTTGGACATTGTTCGAAATCTGAATATTAGTAAGATTGGCAACAAATGCACGATATCGTATTGACAAATTTTTATAAGAGATGAAGTTATAGATTGGATGGCTTGTGCATGATCTGGTTCCTTTTCTTTTTGTAATAGGTAAATCAAGATCATTATTCTCTACATGATCAAACTTAATGAGATTGTTATTAGTGTTACCTAAAGGTGTTTCCTCTGGATTTGGATTTAGTTTATCTTCATGGACTGGCTTGGGATGTGTTTAGTCCTCTATATCTTCTTGATTTCCCTTCTTTTTCTTGGAATAGACAATGACCTCGCTATTTTTCACAGTTTGAGATTGAGTTGGTTGAGAAATGAGTGGAGTTGGAGTACTTAAGTCGGCTTCATAAGGATTAGACTCAGAATTGATAATGAGCATTTCGGATTCAGGTATTCTTATTGGTATCTCGACTATGGGAGCTATAGGTGTCTCGATAGGTTTTGTTTCCTAATATTGATATTCTTGGATTCTATTCTCCCCCTCAAAATCATTTTTGGGATAATATGGCTGGTTTTCAAAAAAATTTACATCCATTGTGTTGTAGAATTTTCTTGTGATTAGGGAGGAACATTTGTATCCTTTTTGTTTCGATGAATACCCTAGAAAGATGCACTTAATAGCCCTTGGATCAAGTTTACTTTGGTTTGGTTGTTTATTGTAAACAAAGGCCATACAACCAAACACTTTGGGTGGAAGAGTGGGAATTAACCGAGCATGAGGATATGATTTGAGCAGGATTTGACAAGGGGTTTGGAAATTTAACACACGAGAAGGCATTCTATTTATGAGATAAGTGGCAGTGAGAACAACTTCTCCCCAAAAAATTTGGAACATTGGTGGAGAACATGAGTGATCTTGTAACATCTAACAAGTGCCTATTTTTTCTTTCAGCTACCCCATTTTGTTGTGAGGTATCAATGCATGAACTTTGATGAACTATTCCTTCTTTTAACAAGTAATTACCTAGAGAAGAATTGAAATAATCCTTTGCATTGTCGATTTTCAAAACTTGTATTTTGACATGGAATTGTGTTTGAATCATGGTATGAAAGTTTTTGAAAATTTGACTAACTTCAGATTTGTCTTTCATTAATAATACCCAAGAAATTCTAGTATGATCATCAATGAATGAAACAAACCATGTAGTGCCAGTAACATTTCTTATTCTAGACGGTCCCCAGACATCACTATGAATCATTGAAAAATGGTAAGATGATTTATAAAACTGAGTTGGGTAAGAGTTGTGAACTTGTTTAGATAACAGTCATATTTCACATTGAAAAATCTTGGAATTATTCTTAAATAATGATGGGAAAAGTTTTTTGAGATACATAAAATTAGGATGACCCAAACAATAGTGCTATAACATAACACAATTCTCATTATTTGGAACATAAACAAAAAAAGATAATTTTTCACCACCTATGGATTGAGGTTATCTTTCAGGAAAATTAGTGGTCTTGAGGATATAGAGACTCAAACACATATTAGCACAGCCAATCGTCTTCCCCAAATCTAGATCCTGAAAAACACAATAATTTGGGAAAAATTTAGAAACAGAATTCTTATCCCGAGTGAGTTTACTAATAAATAGCTGATTACAATCAAGATTAGGAACAAAAAGAGCAGATTCAAGGGTTAGGTCCTTGGAAATAACAATAGACACAATGGCAACTACATTGGAGAGAGAACCATCTGCAATATGAACAGTGAAATTTCCAACACAAGGTGTATAATTTTTAAACATTGTTATATCTCCTGACACGTGATCAGCTGCCCCAGAGTCGATAATCCAATAGTTTCCATGTTCTTTTCTTACATTTAGGGCTACGAGAAAGACCTTTTTGGGCCAAAGATCCAGATCCTAGGATAGAATTGGAATTGGAAGATGATGAACCTTGTGTGGATTGAGTGATCAATTTTTGTAGAAGTTCCAATTGTTCCTTGCTGAATGGACTTGGGTTTGGATTTGTTGGTTTATCCTCAACTGAAACATGGTGGCCATGACTTTCCCCAGGCTTCCAATTTGTTGGTTTGCCATGAATTTTCCAGCAGGTATCCTTGGTGTGACTTGGTTTTTTGCAATGATCGCACCAGGGTCTTCCTTTCCTTTGAGGATTGTCATTGAATGAGGAAAATTGTTCCCTTTCAACAAGAGTAGATCCCTCAGCAATCTGTTGATTGTTTTGAGTACCTAACATAACCTTCTTTCGACTTTCTTCTTGGTGGACCTTTGAAACTACCTCCTGGATGTTAGGTAGAGGTTTAGTTCCCAAAATTTTGCTTCAAATTTCATCAAGATTCTTATTTAGGCCTAATAAGAATTTGTATATTCATTTCTTTTCCACATTCTTTTTTAATCTTGCTGCATTTGCACTACAGTTCCACTCGTGGGTCTCATATAAGTCAAGTTGCTACCAATAGCGATTGAGACGGCTGTAGTACTGAGTGACTGGTAAATCCCCTTGATGCAAATCATGAAGTATTCATTTTACTCGAAGGATTCTGCAGTATCTTCTTTATCTGAGTCTGTTTCCTTGGCTGCTTCTTAGATTTCTTGAGCAGTTTCATAGAGTAGGAAATCATCTCCAATATCAATATTCATGGAGTTGATCAGCCATGGCATAACTATGCTGTTTTCTACCTTCCACCTTTTGAATATCGAAGCATCCTCAACTGGTTGAATTGTTGTTCCAATAAGATAATCAACCTTTCCTCGGCCTTTTACAAACATCATCACTGAATAAGACCATTGGATGTAGTTTTTTCCATTCAGTTTGTCCCTTGTAATGGGAAAACCTGAGCCATCGAATCCACCATGACTGCTGGACTCATAAACTACATGGTAGCTGTTTAAATCAGTAATTCTTTGACTAGTTGTGACTTCAGAGATATTCTCGGTAGTTGCTTCTTTATAAATTGCCATTCCGTATTTTTTCATGGCAGATTGAAAGAATGGTATTTAGGCTAAGAGAAGTTTCAGCAGGAAGAGTTGAGAGATTTCAGCAGGAAGAACTAAGAAAATAGATGGCAGAGAGGTTTTAGCAACCTTGCTCTGATAACATGTAGATTTTTGAGAGAACAATGCCTTTATGTTGTAATGATTATGGCTGGAAACAAACCAGCTATTTATACAAGTTTAGGATAGAACTAAAAAAGAAAGAAATAAAAAATCGTCGATTTTAATACAAGAATCAAGGCTAAAGGTCCCTGATTTTCATACTAGAATCAAGGCTGAAGATTAGCAACACTAGTTGTAGTTACACAGTTGTAAATTAGATTTTGATTTTCTATAATATATATCATAATAGTGGGACCAACTAATTTTATTACTATGAGGAGATTATAACTTAATAGAGGTGTAGTTACAAAAATTAGTGTTTTGATTTCTTATTTTATAATTCATGTTTTAGTAGTATAGACTATAGTATTAGAATTTTAATTCATATTTTAGTAGTATTATGATTTCAATTCAGTGTTTCAATTGCCTACTTTTGAAACGGATAGAAAATCATATCTTAGGACCAACAAAGATAAGTGTCCTTGACAGAACTGTAAATGCAGTTGATGCATAGTCAATTATTGTAAAGCCACAGACAATTGCAAATTGTTTTAAGCGTTACAAAACTAGGACCCCCAATGTCGATGAATTGTAAGTATGAAGTGGATGAGGAGAATAAAAGAGTCATTGTAGAATTGAATGATCAAATTTGACAACTTCACTACACTAATCGAATGAATATTAATGTCTTCCTCAATAATCCAAATGAGCAACAGGTCGTGTATGTTTTAACTGAATAATAAATCATCGTTGCAATTAGACAAGAAGAGAAAGAAAATAATCATGAGGATGATAGTATGGAAATACAAAAAGTTTTGTGCCATGAAGCTCTAAACATGCTTGAGAAGCTAAAAATATTTTGGCTTCAACAATAAGGTGTCTATGCTAGCAAGTTATTACGTACTCACAAGTTAAAAGATGTGGGAACAACTCTAAAACATAAATCATTGTCTCAAACAATTTTAGATAAATATTTTATTTAATCTTAAATCTTTAATTTAACATAACATATATTTGTTTTGTAATATACAAACAATTATTACTGTGTGGAGGCAACTTTCCTTAGGGCAAAAATTAGAAAAATTATAATTTATTACGATGTGGAGTTAATTCTTATTTGTATATTTATCATTGTCTTATATTTATATACCTCAAACTCAAGATGCGACAACAAGAAGCATCAAGAATTTGCAAACCAAAAAAACGAAAGTGTGAAATGGGACGCGACTCTGTAAAAAAAGTTTGCAATCTGCATATAAGAAGAAACAATAAGGTAAACTAATAGTGTTATGATGATGAGTGAGATGATAATCAATCTCAATGTGTTTGGTTTGCTCATGAAAGATTGAGGTAAGAAATACGAATAACACTTTATTGTCACTAAACATTGGAGTGGTATGAGAAAGATAAACACCTATATCACCAAGTAACCAACGTAACCAAACTATCTTAATGGTAGTAGACACCATAGCACGATACTTAGCTTTTGTGGAGGATTTAGAGACAAGAGTTTTCTCTTCCAAGAGATAAGAGAATCGCCCAAAAAGATAGAAAGTCAGTGATAGACATGCAATCAGTGGGATCACTAGCCCAATCAACATCCGAGTATACATGCAACTCCAAACACGATACAATGCAAGACTTTGAAAGGGAGTGCCTCAAAGATACCTCAAAATATGAAGAACAACAACTTAATGAACAATAGTAAGGGAAGCACCGAACTGACTGATAATATGAATAACATAAGCAATGTCTGGATGAGTACTAGTACGATAGACAAAGATGCCCACAATAGTGCGATTTAAAGTATGATCCAATAAGTGGGTACCATCATAAGGAAAATATCGAATATTAAACTCAAGAGAAGTATCAACAGTCTTGGTATCAGTAAGACGAGGACGCTCAAGAATGTTAGTTATGTACTTGGACTGAGAGAGAAGAAAACCCTTTGGAGAGAAAGCCACTTCGATACCTAAAAAGTAACGTAGAGAACTCAAGTCTTTCATTTCAAATTGATTAGCCAATTCTAACTTCAACATTGCAATTCCATTAACGTCATCACCAGAAATAACCATGTCTTCAACATATAAAGATTGTAGAATATGATCAGCAGTGGTACACTTTATAAAGAGACTTGAATCATGATTACTAGGACAAAAATCAAGGGAAGATGTCACAATTGAGAACTTTGCAAACTAGGCCCGAGGTGCTTTTTTGAGACCATATAGAGTTTTCTTGAGTCTACACACTTCTCTAGGATTATGAGAGACACAAGGAAGAGGTACCATATAGACTTCTTTTCAAAGATCACTGTTCAAGAAGACATTTTTAACTTCCATTTTAGAGATATGTCATTGACAAACGGTCGTAATTTTTGCAACAAGAGCAAAAATCTCTTCATGATCTATACCATATTCTTGAGAAAATCCCTTTGCTACCAGTTGAGCTTTGTATCGCTTGATTGACTCATTAGACTTGGTTTTGATTTCATTGACCCAGTGAAAACCAACTTCCTTTTTATTAAATGGTAAAGATACCAAATTCCAAGTTTCTGTCTTATATAAAGTAGAAAGTTCCTCAACCATAGTCTGTTGCCAAACGGGATCTAATGTTGCCTCTCTATATGATAAAAGGCTCAGAGAGATTGTGAATAAAGGCTAAAAAAGAAGTATAAGAAACATAATAACAAGAATAAGCTAAATATGACAGTTTAGTAGATTTATTATGGTGCTAAGGATAATGAGGCAGAGAATCCATAGTCTCAAGAGATGTTTAAGTGGCCTCAAGAATAGAGTGAATATCAAATATCAAAGTACCAGTATCTACATGATCAACAATGCGAGCCCTGTGAGAATAGTGAGGAGGAAAGAGGGTAATTGGAACATGAGAATGAGAAACATGGTGTAATGTATCTATAGTGGGTGGAACATGAGATGATAAGTTATTTGTATCATCAAAGAATGATCAATGCAGATGAGACCATATTAAGTAAGATTATGAGAATTAATGGGAATGGAAAAGAAATTTATATGCTTAAAAAACACAATATGACGAGATACATATAATTTTTGGGCAATTGGATCAAAACAACGATATCCCTTTTGACTATTACCATAACCTAGAAAAACACATATGGCGGAGCGAGGAAATAACTTACTATGCTTTACATGAGGTTGAAGGATAAAACAAGTACAACCAAAGATATAGTCAAGAGCATACCCATATAACTTTTCAAAAGGAGACAAACCTAAGGTGTGAGATGATGAAATCTTATTAATTATATGGATAGATGTAAGAACTGTTTTGCCCTAGAAAACACTAGGGACATAGGCAGGCAACAAAAGGGAATGAGCAGTTTCAACATGTCAGTATTTCTTTCAGCAACACCGTTTTGCTCTAGAGTGTCAATACAAGAAGTTTGGTGACTAGTTCCATCTAAAATAAGCAATTCAAAATATTTATTGGAATTGTACTTTCTACCTAAATCATAGGATAATAGTAGAATATTGAGTTTGACATAAACTCTAAATGCACTATAGGTAGGCAACAAAAGGGAATGAGCAGTCTTAACAATGTGTCAGTGTTTCTTTCAATAACACCATTTTGCTCTAGAGTGTCAATACAAGAAGTTTGGTGACTAGTTCCATCTAAAATAAGCAATTCAAAATATTTATTGCAACTGTACTTTCTACCTAAATCATAGGATAATAGTAGAATATTGAGTTTTGACATAAACTCTAAATGCACTATAGATGCTAAAAAAATCAAGAGGATGTTTCATAAGATAGATCCAACAATAATGAGTGTAATCATTAATAAAAGAAACATAATATTGAGAACCCCCTTTTGTAGTAATAGGGAAGACCCTTACACATCAGAGTGAACCAAATCAAATGGTGTACAAGATGAAGAAATATTTCGATTAAAAGGTAAAACATAAATCAAGTTTACAACCACAAAAAAATGAAAATATCACGAGTTTGCAAATTTCCTAAGGCTCCCGTAGAAGGTAAGTATCTTAAACGAGAGGCCGAAACATGACTTAGACGAAAATACCCAAATCTAGGGGAAGAAGAACTCAAACATAACGATGACAAGTCAACACTATAAGCTGCAACATTAGAAAATTTTAACTTTTCCAAAACATATAGGTCTACGACCTCTCATAATTAGCTTTTGGGATTATGGATCCTGCACATGACAAGAAGTTAAATAAAATGAAACTGATGATAAGAGCTTGAAAACACACAATTACTTAGTGGTTTATGGGGACTATTTGGGAGAAATTAGGCTTAAGTTGGTAAATTTGCTTAATATTTTCATAAATGTCTTTTACGGGATTATGAGTGTGTTTGAGTATTTTCAGGGATCTATGCTAAATGTTATGCTCGGATGAAGAACCATGTCAGCAACAAAATGAGTGATGAGTAGAAATAAACGGATCGAGAATCGGAGTTGACTAAGAGGAGATTCTAGATTTCGCTCTAGTTTGAGCATGCTTTGGTGTTACGACAGTAACTTGAGTTGTAGACCTCGGATTAAGATGATTCTTGGACTGTTGGAAAGCTGATTCAAAGGAATACATTTATCACTCTCCAAATTTCATCGTTATTAGGCTTAAAAATCACTATCTTTGGAGTGTTGAGGAATGATACGAGGTTTGAATTGAAGAAGAGGAATTAATCACCATGCCATAGCACAGTTAGTCCAGAATCAACCATGCCACATCATAGTGCCAGGGCATAGTCACGACAGTTGGAAATTTATTTTCTATTTTTGACTAGGAATATAGGGTTTAAGAGTCCTAAACTAAGTAGAATTAAGGAAAACAAAACCCTAATCCTTGTGGGATATAAATAGTCTTTTAGTATTATTTTGGAGATTCTTTGAGAGAGATCAAGAGGAAAACTATTAGAAGAAAAGAAAAAAGCATCAGAATTGCTGGAGCTTTTGGAGCAAAATCATAGAGAAGTTTTTCTTTGTTTCTCCTTAAACTCCTGATTTTTGTTTTAATAAAGATGATTGTTTCTTTCATAATTGCTATGAACTAATTTTATTTCCTAGGGCTAAGATGTAGCCCAATCTCTTGATTATGTGTTGATTTATTTATGTTGTTTTTTATTAAGATTTCTTCCTAAGTTTTATTATTATGCCTAATGCTTTTGATTTTTAAGGGCCCAAGAATTGAATGAATTAATGGACTAAGTTGAGATCGAGAGATGATATTTAGTTGGTCTACGATAGTAAAACCATAGGTTGAGTGAACACTAGAGATATGTTACTGCGATTTGTGAGGTTTTGGTAAACTCCATAAAACATAATGATCTTCGATTGCTTAAATCTGATTAGAGATAATTTGGGTTAGTAATTAGGAGTTAATCTGATAATTGTTCGAGAAATAATTATTGGAAATTTAGGGTGTTTGACCTTTAGGAAGAGCTTAATGAAATTAGCATAAGTTATCAATACATAGGAATAAGAGTTGGTGTGAAATCTTTGCCCTAGGTCTAGTCATCTTGCATTAAAACCAAAGATTTACTTAGTTGTTTTCTCTTAAGTTTTTTAGTTAATTTCAATTGTTAATTTTAATTTAGATTTTTCTTGAAAAAAATTGTGATTAGATAGTAATTAGATAGTAAATTTTGGTAATTGATAGTAGTAATTCCCTTGGGTTTGACATCCGTATTCGTACACTTTATTACTTGCACGATTTCATAGACTTGCGAGACTTGCGAAAATCACAACAACTGAGTAACCAGAGTCACATAAGTGACCAATGAAAACAAGATTCAATGTGAGTTTAGGAATATGGTAAACTTTAGGAACATGATAAACTTTAGGAAGAGATAAACAAGGTGTGCCAATTGATCTAACCTGTACTAAGGGCATAAGAGTGCCATTAGTAGTCATGACAAACACAATGTTTTAGGACATAATGAAGTGAATGAAGATAAGTGACAGGCTGTAGGATTTAAGATCCACATGGAAGAAAAAGAACTTAGGGATGACAAACCTATAGGGGAAAAGGCAAACATAGTATGTTTCAAGAAACTTCTAAAACTGCTCAACAAAGATGGCTATTGCGGGATTAGAGATGATGTAGTTCCAAATCCAAATGAGTCTAATGGTGTTACAATTGCTACAGTATTAGATTGTGGAGGCCTATAAGGTCATTTGTTTCTTGACTTCTATGGAAGAAGTTGTTGTTGTTGTGACTGTCCTAGTTTAGGACATTGAGCCTTCTGATGACCTTTTTGCTTACAGAAATTACTTTCATCACTACCAATACCATTAATCTTCAACTAAGACTTGTTTTGATAGTTAAAAAGTGGTCTGAAAGGTATTGCTAATGTAATAGCCACTTTCTACTCAAATACTCATAATGAAATACATATAAAATAATATAAAGAAATTGGGTCCAAAATTTTCTTTTTATTAAATATATATATATATATATATATTCTTTACAACATATACATTTTTACACAAAATTATAATGTGTACAAAAGTCATCAAAAACATAATAGACAGTGTAACCGCTTCTCCTCGAGCGACGACATCCATCCGACCGTGTCCTCACCTAGATCCTGCAAAACATAGGAAAACAACGGGGTGAGCACTAAAATAATGCTTAGTAAGTAAATCCTCTACTCATCTATCCCCGTAACTCTCTCTCTCCAATTCTTTCCTTACAACTTCTCATTCAATTTCTCTTTGGTACTTCTTTCTCTTTCTCTTTCTCTTAGAACTCTTTTCTATTAACTTCTTTAGTAAGTCACGGCCCTATCTTATCGGGGGCATGGCCAGGACTCGCTCCCACTCTACGTGACCTCTACTCATTCTAGCCGATCGGACTCGGTTATGCATGGATTCGGAACCCTAGGCCACGTGAGTGTATAATCTCTCTCTCGGGTACTTGGGTATAGCCCTCATCTGCATGCACTCTCACGGGCTATACCACTTCTCTATCTCATACTCATGCCACTCTCTCAATGCGGCGTACATGCGGGAATACTCTACCCATTACTCACGGGTTCCCCATCGTACAACCTACTCTATTCTCTTTCTCTTAACT